TCATTCAGTTTATTAATAATCACCGTGTGGTCTCGTTTATCCTCTTCTGTCACGTCCGGCAGAGCATTCAGAATCTTGAGACACGAGGCGCCCATTACAGAACATAGCGTAGCTGCTACTATTCTTTTTCCTTCCTCCTGCTCATTTACCGTCAACTTCGACTGAAGATCTGTTGCTATCACATAGTTCTCCCAGGCATTTTTAAATTCTTTCCAGTTCTCCACGACATCCCCTTTTACATTCATAGGTGCCTGGGCAGGAATCTGATAGGTCACCATTATGACTGTTCCGAATCTTAAATTTCTGCTTTATTTTGAAAGAAAGTCACTTACAAACGGCTTTTCCCGACTTTCGGGTTACGAATTTGTCAGTCTGACATGACTTCTGACACCATGTTCGTCGTAGCTTCTTTAGCTCGACTATCCAAAGACACGCGGTCTCACACATGAATACAGAAAACGCACGTTTCCACACTTTATTCAATCTCCTTCTACTAGAGAATACACATATAACTCTAATCAAGACAGTCAACTGCACAACAGTGATGACCTTTCCTTACACGCTGCATACTTTTATTTGAATTAATCTTATCTTTCTTTCATTATAATGTTGAACTTTATTTTCTAGTCCACAATGTTAACATTCAAGATGAAGGTGTCTCCCGCTCGCATCTCCTGCAGTGTATATTTGCCCTGTGGGGCATATCGTACATTGGGATCAGTCTGTTACCATTCCAAGCCAATGCCACAGAACAAGTGTCAGTTATCAGTCACATGAGACCTGCTGGTAGGACACTATTACAGGAAACAGAACACCATACCCCGGGACCTGTGTTCACAGTGAGTTGATCTGCCATTTTCACAACAGCAGGTCGGGTTTGGGGGTTGGAACAAACTGCCTTTTTTTTTTTTTTTTTTTTTTTTTTTGCTGTGAAAAGGTTTGCTCTGGTAAAATTTGATCTACTGGTAGGTGCACAAGGGTTTCATTGTAAAAGGTCCACTTTTTGAAAAAAGACACCCCGTAATTTGAAATTGCTGGCTGCGGGCCTGAACAACAACCAACATGACTGTTTGGCAAAGGTTTTTTCTTGAATTTGCATCAATTGAGAATCTAAGGGAGATCAATGGGATATTAGCAATTTTTTCTTTAGGTTTGTTATATTTGATATCACATCCTTTGAGCATGTGTTCTGAACCACACAATCTTGATTATCTCAGTTAATCACTTGGAAGTGGTTCGCCATTTCTAGCAGACAATGACATGTGAAGATCTCATTTCTTTGTTTTGAGTACATGGTTTTTACTGTCTTACTCATTAAATTTGCTTGCCAGTAATAACATCATAAGTACTACAGTGACCAATTTGCTTTAGTAACCTATAATAACATTATGAGTGCCATAGCCCTCCGTATTCATGGCTATTTTGTACTGAAATGAGATCGATACAGAATATTTACATGCAACTTCTAATGTGTTGTTTTTTCTTCAGGGTACAGGGGATATAATAGGCTATGTGTGTGGTATCATATCCACATGTTTTTATATGGGGTCCAGACTGCCACAGTTACTACTCAATGTGAGTAATCAGGCACATTCACACAAGGTTGCTTAAAGGGAAAACAAGTGTTTGTCCCCCCCCCCCCCCCACACACACACACATACACCTAATTTTTTCCTAGGCTTAATGATGACTTTCTCAAACTAACCAATGGTTTATGAATTCATTCCAGCATTCAAAGTTTGTCCATGTTTTTTTTTTTCTAAGAAGTTTTTTTTTTCTTTAATAATCTTAAGGGGTTATTATGGATGTATAGCCATCTAAGCAAGTCCACCTGGTCTGATGGCAGGCAAAGGTTACAGAATAGTTGCGATAAGTGCTGTTTTGGTGGTAAAATGGAATTTATTATATTTCTATGTGTTGCAATGTTTTTATTGTGATATATAAATCTTATACAAACAGTTGTTATCACTTTAAGATGAAATATGCACAACTTGCATCAACAAAAGGTTAAATAGCTAAATTCCGAACAGGTATTTTGCCCATTTGCCAAATTGGGCATAGAAAAAAGGAAAAAATATAGACAAAATTGATTATTACTGGAGTATCCAAATATAGTGCGTCATCTTTATTGTACCACCATAAAGTTGTTGGGCTTTGTCGGTTTTGGGGTCTAGGTGTGGCAATCATTGCAATGCACCCTTGTCTAAAAATGGCAAAATTAAATGCTAATTATCTACCCTACAGAAGGAATTATGGGAAAAATTTCTACAGATGGCTTTCCAAAAGTCATATGTGTAGATTTTAAATATGCCCTTGGATTTGACCTTTGACCTTTATTTCAAGGTCAAACGGGCCAACATTTTCAAAAAAAAGAAAAAAAAAATTATTTGCCCTGTTATTCAGACACCACACAGACTTAACCAATAATATTATTGGAAAGTGTTACCCTTCGGGTCATCTTTCATCTCCCTGAATTTGGGGTCAATCGGTGCATTTTCACGGGAGTAGCGGCCATAAGATACCGAAACTGAAAACTGTCTCTAATTCGGGAACCGTTAATGCTAGAGACCCATTCTTTTTTGCATTTTGTAGAGCATGTAAAGCCCAACACTGGAGGTGGTCCCTTTTTTTTTTGCATTCATACGGTTTTCAAGTTACGCTGTATCAAAAAGTACATATTGGTGGTGAAAGCAAAATGTTCAGTACGGTAATGCATAATAAATTTTGAACTCTGGAAAAATAAAACATAAGGCTTGGCAAAGCAGACAACTTGTGGACANACACCTGGTTAAATTAGGTACTGGCCTTTCCCTAAGGAGCCTATTTCTTGCATTGTCATCTGTTACACTGATAACCAGTCTGTCTCTTATCAATGAATTGCTTAGGTCTCCATATTCACATGATTCTGCCAATCGTCTAAGTCTGATGACATACTCATCAACTGTTTCATTATCACCCTGAACAGCTTTGTTAAACTTATATCTTTCAAACAAAACATGTCTTTGGGGAAGAAAATGATCATTCAGTTTATTAATAATCACCGTGTGGTCTCGTTTATCCTCTTCTGTCACGTCGGGCAGAGCATTCAGAATCTTGAGACACGAGGCGCCCATTACAGAACATAGCGTAGCTGCTACTATTCTTTTTCCTTCCTCCGAGGGCTGCTCATTTACCGTCAACTTCGAATGAAGATCTGTTGCTATCACATAGTTCTCCCAGGCGTTTTTAAATTCTTTCCAGTTCTCCACAACATCCCCTTTTACATTCATAGGTGCCGGGGCGGGAATCTGATAGGTCGCCATTATGACTATTCCGAATCTTGAATTTCTTCTTTATTTTGAAAGAAAGTCACTTACTAACGGCTTTTCCCGACTTCTTGTGGGTTACGAATTTGTCAGTCTGACAGGACTTCTGACACCATGTTCGTCGTTGCTTCTTTAGCTCGACTATCCAAAGACACGCGGTCTCACACATTGTTCAGACCAGTATATTTTAAATTTCCTTTGATCAGAGTCGCGGGCATGTGCACGCGGCTCAATTAAATTTGTACTGGGTTCTTTAATATACCACCGGGTATAAAATTACTTCTAAGGGCTCTAACGCAAACTTGAAGTTCCAAGGTTCGGTACACGATTCCCGACTTGAGTTATGCTCAGGGAGAATAGCAACGCAACACCACTGTTTCGTTACAAAATCACAAAAACTGAATTTCATTTTTTTTGATCTGAGACTGAAGATGTGAGGTTGTTCTGTTATGCTTCTCTGTGCACGTAAAGTGAAAGACTGAGTCGAATCTGGAGTCATGTCGGAGCCCATAGATTAGTTAATTCGTTAATGGAAATTGATACACTGGAATTCAGTACAGTTATAAATTAAAGTTAAAGTCATTTTAGACGGTTCACAACACGTGTTGAATCCTGCACTAATTCCACATTGTGTATTCAGAGTTAATCAACGTATTATTATATAATTTGCATCTGTCCTGCATAGATAAATATTATTTTCGGTAGAGGCCCATAGGTAGGCCTATTCCTTAGGCAGATGCATATCACCTGTTAATATTGCACAACAATTAGTATGTAAATAAGTAGCAGCCACATGTACACGCATGTAAATAAGTAGCAGCCACATGTACACATAGATTCCCTGTAGATAATCTGTATATAACTTGAAGCTTGTCCATAATAAAGACACTTTTGATCTGAGACTGAAGATGTGAGGTTGTTCTGTTATGCTTCTCTGTGCACGTAAAGTGAAAGACTGAGTCGAATCTGGAGTCATGTCGGAGCCCATAGATTAGTTAATTCGTTAATGGAAATTGATACACTGGAATTCAGTACAGTTATAAATTAAAGTTAAAGTCATTTTAGACGGTTCACAACATATTTTTGGCGAGCTCGAGCCAGTAAATTTTCACAAAAAACGTGCACGGAGGAAAATAACGAATAACAAATGGAATCCAGAAAACGCATGTTTCACGTTCAACCCTTTATTCAATCTCCTTCTACTAGAGGATACGCATATAACTCTAATCAAGACAATCAACTGCACAACAGCTTGTGGACGGTATTTATTGCTTGTGGACTGTTGTGTGGACAGTAATTAGTGCTTGTGGACGGTAGTGTTCGGTAGTGTTCGGATGTTCTCTGTTGTCCTCGGTTGTCGACGGTAATTAGGTACACCCTTTAAAAAAACGACGTAAGCGACCTTTTAGATTCTTTGTGAAACGGGACTTAGTGACGTAACGACTTAATTAATTTGGTAACCAAGCTCTTAGTCAGGTAAAGCGACTTAAGTTTTTTTGTGAAACGGGGGCCAGAACAGTCTGTCCGCAGATTTCGAGCTGCGTGTGCACACTGGCTGAAGCGCAGCCCGGGAGCCACCGGCTCATATGACGGTTATTTTGGAGAACATTAGATTTGGCCTCGTTTTCAAAACTTGAAGCGGCGGCTGTACCCAATTTGGCGGGAGGAGCAGGCATAGAGACAGGTAAGATGAACAGACGTTTATACGCTGATATGTTGATAATTTTATTAATGCACTTGACAGAACGATAAAGTATATTCTCAAGCTATATTTTATATACCATAGTAGTGTTTAAGTATCGGTTTCACTGAATCTTCTATCAAGTTACTGTCGTGTTCCAAAATTGCGGCACACAGAACCCAAATGTAAACACGTTCTTTTGAATTGTGCCAAATGCAGATAACAATGATTTTTCTTTATCTGTTCAGTTTTTTTAATAGTTTGACATTTGTTTTTGAACAGGTAAAAAATTTAGGTAGGAACCTAACCTGTAACTTATCGATTTTCTACATTTCCGACAGGTAGTATATTTTGCAATGTTCCGAGTAACTACATGGGCAGTCTTGTGTTACATCTTGAATGAATGTCGAAGTTTAATATTGAATTTTTGCATTTTCATGCAATTTTTTTGTGTTTTGAAGTTAACTAGATTAAATACTTCATGAAATGACAGTGTGTGTGGTTGGGGCAATCACAGTAGAGTGAATATGTGGGCAGTCTTGCCTCATGTCTTGTATGAATGTCACAATAAAATATTGAGAATTTGCCTTCTTATGCTTTTTTTTGTGCTTTGATGTTTATTAATAGAAATGGCTAGCGAAATGACATGCAGTATACTTGATTTTGTATAGATAGATATATTATGAGAGGGGGATAGGTCACCTTTGAGGATATGAAAGCCATTTTTTAGATATTCTGCATATTCCTTTTCATGCTATTTCTTTGCATTTTGATTTAAGTAAGATGAAATAAAACAAAAAATGTAATATTTTGAAATTTCCATGAAAATGGAGTGAAACTTGTATAAACTGATAAAAAATATTTATCATTAATTTATTATTATCATGTACAAGAATGCCCAATAAATAATAGGTTTAATATTTTATCTACATTTTTAGACTTTCAGTGACCTAAAGTGTTGACAGTTCAAAGGCTTGTATTATAACAATTAAGATGTCAGTGTTACACAGCTGAATATGCATGTACATTGCCAAGTAGTGAGTAGCTTTTCATATCACTTGCACATATTTTTTATTTTATCATAAATTGAATAATATATCATGCCCAAGAGAAAGCTTAGCTAGGACATTTACCCATGTGTTTTCCTTGTGGTCTATGTCCAAGGTGTGGGAAAGTCGATTTATAGTTGTTGGATGTTGATATCAGTGAAAAAGCAGTGTTATCTGCCTTGCCTGTGTGTGCATGGGGTGAGTGTGGGGCCACACATGCTTGTAAATTATAGTTGTGAAAGATACAAAATTGAAAACCAACCAAAAGCATCTTTTCAAAAATATGAATAACAAATTTTGACCTTTAACATGTTTGCTCCTTTGGCAGGGTACAAAAACTTGTTAGTCAAAATAAGTTTCATTACATTTTTTACCCCCATTTGTTGACCATTTGCAATACATACGTGCATACTGTGCATTATAAAATGCCAAGTGCTATAACATTGTGTATATGTTTTCAAATTGTGATAGCCATATCATAGGCAAATTTTTGTTAGAAGGAACAGTTTATTTTTGTTTAAAATCTCACACACACACAAACACATGGGTTATAAGCATGTGAGGGAAAAATGTTTCATAAAAAAGGAATATTATATTAACAAAATTCCTCCTTTGTTTTAATTTATAAATATTGTGTACCAGTACAATAATTAGTGTATAACAGTTGTGAACACTGTAGTTTGTAGACTTCAGAGCTTCATTTAAATGGGAATTTAATTGATTTGAAGATTTGCATGTGTGCCACTGCTCAGCTCTTGATGATGAGCTCATTGATCAATATTGATACACTTTTAGAGTACTATTTTAGATATTTCGATTGATACCAGCTTCCCTAGCTATTATCAAGATTGTGGTTGATTATTTATACTGATTTTAGTGTTTGTTGTTGTTGTTGTTGTTGTTGTTGTGTTTGTAAAGATATATGCAGTTAGAAAAGTGTTTTTGAATGTTACTTTTTAAATCTTTTTAATGTTTTAATCTAATATTTTTCTAGGCTTGAAGAACATGAAAGGGACCAGGATTAATCATTTTGCCATTCCTTGGCAATTATGACAGAAGCTCAAGCACCTATCATGAAGCCATAAATAAAGTTATTTAATCCTTTTAAAACTGAAAACATTCTTTTAAAACTTGGTTACAGTTCTTTCCAATGAATAAAATACATTAACAGATTCATGTAATACCATTATAAATGTGGAAGTTTTTAAATGAAGTTTGGCTGTGAAATCACCTCTATGACACTTACAAAAATAAATTCAAATGAAAATACAGACTGGTACAGGGCTAACTGGTATCAGTGAAATAAATTGCTTATCCCAGGTAAATTTATAAAATTATATTAATTGTTTATATTGAGCCTGTTTTTAAAAGGAGTAGTGTGTCTTGTGGCTATATCAGTATGTTATGATCAAGAAGTGTACAATAATTGCCATATTAATGTGTTGCTAAAGTAAAAAATAACTTTTGCCACAAATATACATGTATATTTGCATCAGCTTTAATCCCTGTTGGCTGTCACAATATTGATATTTTTGTTGATGATTTTATGTTTTAAATGTTTTATAGTTGTTCACATGTAAAAAAAAAAAGCAAATTCAGTTGATAAAAATGTCTTGTTTGTTTTGTTTTTATTAGTCTTTCAATGAAAATAAACTGGCAGCGGGTGGCCTCATGAAATAGATAAATGCCTATTTACAAAAAAAAATGAAATGTTTATATTTTCATTTCCTCCATTCTTCCTGTGCAAGCCTCTCTTCTCTATATAGACAATATTGTGCGGGTGGAGAATTCAAAACGAGGTTAGATTACAACAAGAATGTACTAAGTCAAAACGAGGCTGGCTTACGGTTGTTGAAAGTACGATTTTTTTACATACACGGGTGTGAATTGATTTGTGCCATTCCTGGATAACGGTAAAGTTCCTTACATGCTTACATTGACAGAAAGCTGAATAAATTTGCCATAACTTACTGATAATTTGAAGTTGGAACCTGTTCTCTAAGAATGCAAGCATTAGAGGTAAAGTTGAACTCCCGTTACAGCTTTGGTAAAACTTCGATTTCAAATTCACTTTTGAGCACAAAATAGGGTTTAGATCAACTCGAGGAACATCTCACATCATTTGAAATTTATTTCTAAAGATGACAGTATACATAACAAAACTGTCATACCCTTAGTAGTCGAGATATTCTACCGTTTCTGACACCCTATAAATCTAAAAAAATGCACGCAATTCAAATTCTAGAACTTCCGGTTTGGTTAAAAGCCACCTGGAGGCAGACCGGTGGATCCCGGGCTGGCGACGGCCATTTTCGCACTACTTTCAGCAAAATCGAGCGAAAATGGATGACTTTTGAGTTCTTCGTATTTCCATGTGTATTTTGTCAACAGTTGGTGTGATTAAACGATAGATACATAAAAAGAAGCGGGAATATCTAAGGATTCGGAATTTTAAGGTTAGGTGTCATAAAAAATAGATTCAGAACGGTAAAATGGAAGATTTATCGGTACTTTTGTAGTATACCCCCCCCCCCCCCACCCTGTAACTTCCTGTAATTTTCACTTTTCAAACAGTTTTTTTACATTTTCTTGCTCATCTTTGTCAAAGCTGTTGAAATAAAATGCGTTTGTAATTACCTGTGGTCTTTTTCGAGTTTTAATCGCGTTTAATCCAGCCCATTGAAATGTGAGAATGGACCATGCATCCGCAGTCAATAATTTGCTGCGTTTTCATTGACTAACTAAGGTAACATGACTTGTCGTTATTTACGTACAAAGCGCCATCGATGGAGGGGAAAACACTTAAAACAGTTTCTAAAAGCGATTTACCAAATGTGAAAATCGCTTTTAAACAGTTCTTTTAAAGCGATTTTCAAAGTTTGTAAACAAACAATTAACATTTATTCATTAAAGAAACATGTAATATATGTAATTATCACATCTGTGATCTTAATTAAACATTTAAAGCCATGAAAGTTTGCAGACAACAAAAAACATTTATTTATCAAAGCAACATTTAAGGAATGTCATTATCACATTTGTGAACTAATTTAACATTTAAAACCATGAGTTGGGAGTTCAAAAATAAAAAAGTCAGATAAATGTTAATGTTTTTATCATAACATATTATATATGTTATCAGTGATTTCTGTTCAGAACAGTACATTTAATTACAGTCATGTAAATTTCAAGTCACTGTGGATATTCCACTCTTATGTGTCCCAGGATATTTTGAAATGGATTGTCACCAAAAGAAAGGCGCCACATGAACTCAGTCATATAGCTTTCCAGCTGGGACCTGGCTGTCCCACCCTCCTTTTTTGTTTTGCCTCTTGGCCCTCTGCCACATTTTCTCTACTAGGTTGGTGTGGGCTCCAGTGGTAGGGTCAACAAAGTTGACTTGGTGATTCACTGTCAAGTGTTGGTATCCCAGATTGCCTACAGCGTTATAGGCTGCCCACAGGTCTGACACCACTGTTGTGCCTGGAAGAACGAACTGCTGCAACACTGGTAACAGGGTGGCAGCATCCCTGCGTGGAACTGGTACCAGGAATCATTCTTTGGACTCTTCATCTATGCCGCCAAATACCCACTGGGCAGCAACTTGCCGGCCTCTGTTGTGTTTCCGGCGAACAAAGTGGGATTCGTCAATCTGAACTGTTCTCGAGGAGATAGATATCATCGTGAGCGAGGTGTCTTCCAATCCTACTCTTTTTTACCAACTGTCAAACACTGTAACTCAAAAATCGAAGGAGGAGATTTGGAAAAGGATAACTTAAAAATAAGCAGACACTTTTATTTTCATACTTAAAAAAACCCTAAATAATACCTACCCCCTGCCCCTTTTAGTTAATAAAGGGGGGTGGGGGCCTAGCGTTGCACCCCGTGTTGCTTGTGTAATTTCGTAACAGCAAATCCCATACTAGTAAAATTAATAATAATACAGATTTAAAAGTGAAATTTTTTATTTCTGAAAATATGTAGTTTCTTTCCCCTAAAAACTGGTGAAAGTATCAAGAAGTAAATTAAATTAAATTAAATTAAATTAAATTAAATTAAATTAAATTAAATTAAATTAATTACTGTGATTTATACAGGTATATATTGTTATATTTTTTAAATCAGGATCAACAGTGTTTCCTTGAATGTAAGGAAATTTACTGAAGTAAGAAAGAAGTGGTACGACTACTTTAGTCGTACCAAAAGAATAAAAAAGCGGAGAGAAGAAAGGAGATGAGGAGGACTGGGGGAGGGCCAGAACCTCCCCAGCTTACAGGTAGGGAGCAAAAAGTATGTTTATAAAAATTTATTTTCAAATTATTATTTAAAAAAAAAAGTGTGCCCTGTTTCTATTATTATTATTATTATTATTATAATCATTATTATTATTATTATTATATAATTTTTTAATGTATTTTGTCCAGGTCATAGAGATCATTGGAGATGTGGCGGTGGAGGGTGTGCAAGGGCTGGAGCAGAATGACTCTTTCTGCTTTGAATCTGGTACTACTGATTATGATTTATTAGATTTATATCCATTTAACTATTAATTTGCATTTCTATGAAGTAGTACGTGTATATCATAGAGTTTGATATAATAAAATTTGAGTGAATGTTTTAATAATTGATTTTTTCTCTTCAAGATCAGTGTGAGTTTACCACAGAACTTCCATGTGACCCAGGTAATAATAATATAAATACCATTTACTGTTTAAAATTGCATGTCTTGAATATAAATGGGATGAAGGAAATGATTATGTCATACAAAGGAGAAATAATGATGTTATAAGCCATATCTATTTTCTATGTTTTCTACTGTTTTCTAAAGTTTTTTTTTATTCAGAAGATGGTACAAGTTTTGAGACTTCAAGTCCAATTTCTGGTATGTGTATAATTCTGTTTCTTTTTTTCTTTATGTAATGTATTTGTATCCTTAATTAAATCTGCTTTTACTACTTGTTGCAAGTAAAAACTTCTAGAAAGTGTAAAAATTGTATGGAAACTTTTCAGTAAAATCTAAAATAATTTTCAATTTTTATTTCTTTGTTTGCAGAAAGAGTTGAGGGATCATCCAGAACGCCATGCAGACCATCCAGAACAACAGTGCAAAGTAAGTTAATATTGTAAATATTTACTTTTTTAAGGGGATTTCCTTACTTACATTTAGCTTTCAACAATCCTTTTACATTTTAGTCAACCTTTAAATTTGTTAATTATCCCTAGGTCATGAATAGAACAAAATGTAATTGAGGAAGTTCCAATACTAGTGTCACGAAAAATGTATAATGTTACATTGTATTTAATTTTTACTTCTTTTTTACGGGCAAGAAGAGAACAGGCACAGGTAATATTCTCAAAGTTTTAAAGTTCTAATTTACATTTTTTTACTGATTAATGATATATTTTAACACTCATAGGTTTTTAAAAGTACATGTATTCGCTAAACTACCATACTGTTTCATTTTTTAGATCCAACAACAGGCCTATACCAAATAGAGGAAGAACGATTGCAAATTGAAAAGAATAGGTTAAAAATTGAAGAAGAGAGGTTGGAAGTGGAAAGAGAAAAAGTGATAGTTCTTAAGCAGATAATGCAGTATTATTCATTGAAAGCAGAGCATCAGAAATGAAATACTTTGTTATACAGTGAAAATTCACCACTATTGTGAAACCATTTTTTACCATTACTTAATTGTTCACCATTACTGTTAAACCATTGTACTGTTTGCTTAATTCTTCAACATTACTATAAAACTATTGTACAATTTACTTAAGTGCATTTCATGTACTGAGTAGTAGCCTATACCAACCATTTTGAGCAATAGTGTACCTGTAATGCATCTATAGGTATGTGGATTTATAAGTGCGTGGGTTTATGTGGACGTCGTATCTATAGGAACGCAAATATATAGGACTGTGGTAAAAAATCTGATCTATCGGTATTTAAATCTAAAAATACGTAATTTCGGTTTTTCCTTTTTGTATCTATCGGTAACGGGAGTATAGGGACGTGTGTTAAAGTGCAACTTGGTAGGTGTTTTTTCCCGTATTTTAAGTTCCAGACATCTAACACGATGTTAATCAAAACAAATGAACCTAAAATGAATGCTCACAAATTCCCCAATCAATGTCAATTGAGCGTGCAATTATTCGTGACGTCATGAGAGGAACCCCCTCAGACGGGGCCCGCTTAGATAACTCGTTAGTTCTGAGACACAGTAAACATGGTTAGACGTAGTATTGTCGGCGGGTGCTAGAACACTTGTGAAAATAAAGG